TGCGGACTCACGATTACGTGCAGGGGCGCCCTGAGGGATCTCGCACGAATATTTAATATACAGTGACCTATTGTCATTGATTTAAACGTCGTCTGAGATTTAAACATCAATAAAGTGTAAAACACACTAATAGACTACTCTGCAAATAATCACGTTGCGGTTAAACAATAATGAGACAAGTACATAAGCATTTATGATGTGAATAACCAGCATTTCTAAGCTGGTAACGTGCTGTGCCGGAGCATGAGATCTTGAAGCTCCGCCCTCTTCTGAAAAGGGAGGCGGGAAGCAGATTTTACTTTTGTCCATCGAGTGTTGATTTAATCATTGTGGGTTGCTATTACTATGATGTCATGTGAGTGACAGGTTGTCCCACCCTCACACTAGTAAACACGCCCTTAGTGAAGAGAAGAGATGTTTTTGCAAGAGGGAGGGGAAGTTACTCTGATCAGCCACAGCGCTGAGACCACTGACAGGTGAAGTGAGTAACATTGATTACATTGTTACAATGGCACCTGTCAATGGGTGGGAGATATTAGACAGCAAGTGAACAGTCATGTTGAATTTCATGTGTTGGAAGCAGGAAAAATGGGCATGCGAAAAGATCTGAGTTACTTTGACAAGAGCTAAATAGTGATGACTAGACAAATGGGTCAGAACATCCCCAAAATGGCAAGTCTTGGGTAACAAGTCAAAGCCCATCTGGTCTGATCACACAGAAGAGCTACTGTAGCTCAAACTGCTGACAAACTTAATGCTGGCCCTTATAGAAAGAACTCACAGTGCATCTCAGTTTGCTGCATATGGAGCTGCGCAGCTGCAAACCAGTCAAAGTGCCCATGATGACCTCTGTCCACCCCCTACAACGGGCACTGGAGCGTCAGAACTGAACCATGTACTCACAACAAAAGACAACACAAAACTAAATATGGAGCATGAGCATCTGAATTCTAACACTGAACCGAAACCAAACCAGACAGGAGTGTCAGGATCCGGATACCAGCCTTCAAACACACACAACACACCACACGAGTGTCCTGAATAGAAGATGTGGAGGTTGAACAAAAGTTTTGAAAATTTAAGTTGTGATCTGAGAAATATACTAAGCGATGAGAAAAACTATCAAACATGATCAAATATCAAGCGTGCTTAACTTAATGAAGTGATGATGGTGAGGGGGAATAAGCTGTTGTGGTCAGAACAAATTTGATTTGACTTCCTCTACTTGATGAGGGAACGGCTTTTTTGTCTTCCTGTCTTTGCTTTAGAGCTGCAGTAGATTCATCTTCAATGTTGTGTGGAAGGAAACACGACAACAAGATGCAGATCATTCAACTTCAGTTCTGTGAGTTTTTACATGATATCAGTATATTTACATGCTTTGCAACTTTATTAAAATTATAAATAGTTTTATGTTATGCGTCACAGGGGGTTTACATGAGTAATGTTTTATTTGATTTATTTATTTATTTATCTTACAGATGTTTTAATCTGTTGTCAAGCTGCAGTTTCAGATTTACTGACTGATTTGGGAGCAAATGTGACCATAAACTGTGATCTTGATGAAAATGAGGTTTATTGGATTTTACTGAAAACATCAGATCCTCCGACAGTGATTCTACGATCATTCTCAACACCAATATCACCTTTTTACTTTAACTTCATTCAGTGATCAAGACAAATTGATGAACACTACTTACGTACATAGATGTCATTTTCTGCTTAATTTTTTTAGAAAATTATATTTTTTAGTAATTAATTTTTTTAGTAAATTATGTCATATCAGTATTTTCAGTGCTACAAATCTGCAACCATTGCACTAACAGTAACAGTTGTTATAGTAACAGAGTGTGAACATTTTCTTTACAGAACCGTTTCAACTAACTGAGTGTCACAATCATACAGTGCTGGAGGAGTTTATTGATCAGAATCAGACACAATGGCAGATTATTATCATCATATCTGCTCTGATGAACGGACTTCTGCTCATTGTACTGATTTGTGAGTTATTTTCAGCCATCTGTAAAAATATCAATATGATGCTTTTCTCCATATGCTGAAGTTAATTAAAAATGCAATTATTCATTATTTAAGCTTTTGACTATTTTTTGCAGAAACGTTTGTAAATACAGAATCTAATAAACTGTTCCATTTCTAGGTTTATTAAAAGTTTCTGCAGAACAATTACGACTCAAAGCTGATCTACAGCAGGCGCAAGTTACAGAACAGCATCAGGACCAATTATACTTTAAAAAATGTGAATCCATCCTCATTACTAAAATTAATTTCTGTCTTGATAATTATTGAGGGTTCTTACTGACCTGTACAATAGTGCCCTATAACACTTCATTTTGATTCATATTTGTTCAAATGCAGCTGAATAGGCTAATATTGCTCTTTCGGTATGCCACCGTGGACCTTTACAAACTGCGTGAAAATATCTGCTCCAACCAAGTCAACAGCACCTCTGCTGCTCTAAACCCGCCGAAGTCATGAACACATGAGTATGATTGATTTTATAATTATTTTGTTTACTTTTTCTTGATGTTCAACTGTGAAACTTCTTTTTTTTTTAAATCACTTTTTTATATTACCTATATTTCATTCTGCTTTCTAAATAATAGTTGGAAGTCATGAGATTAATCACAATTATTTTATTGAACTGACAGTTAGTTTATATTTTTCTTCATGTACATGCCTTTGCATTTTAGTGGGTCCCACAAGTCAATCATCATATTTTAGTGCCAGTGGCATCAAAACATTAAAAAAAAAAAAAAACTCCCGCTTCAGATGAAATTTGCGTTTAGGAACTTCTGTTTACTAGTTGATCTCTTTGTCATTTGGAAGACTTTTGTTTTGGAATCGCTGTATTAATCTGTACCTGCTGAAAATTTTTGTGAGTGGTAGCCGACTTAGACATTTATTTTTCTACCACTTTGACCTTGAATGAAGAGTGTGCAAATTATTCTTTTTTTTTTAAGCCTGATTGGTTGAGTTTCCCTTGCTGTTGGACCAAGAAGAGGCTACATTTTATAGGACATAGAGATCTGTTTATTATTTTATATTAGTTTATGATTTTTTAGTAATCAGTTAAATGACAATAAGATAATGAAGTATTATAGTGTGAAATGAAAGTGTGAAGAGTCTATCTGCTTAGGTTTTAAAATGTGTTCAAATATAAATTCAAATATAAATCAGAAACAAAGTGCAAAAAATTAATGACAGAATAGCTGAGTATTACAGTCCACTAAAATGATATTACACTTTCTGTAAACAGCATTATTCTTCCTCTATATTAAACATGTAAACAGTATTTTTCTTCAATACCAAAATAATTTCAACATAATTTTAAATAATGTCACACTATTGATTAATTAGGACTTTATGACTGTATGAAAACAGACAAAGCTTAAGCACCATTTCCATATTCATCACAAATCTAATTAAACAAAAAAAAAAAATTAGGAAAAAGTCAAAAGTGGTTCTTTGGAAATGGCCTGGCATGAGTCACACCTCAAATATGCATTTGATACTGTACTGATGTCATAATTTGTAAATTAATATGTATTAATAAATAAATAAACAAACTACTAAGTGTTATTTTTT